ATTTCGCTTAGCATAATAATCTCAAGATCCACCCATGTTGTCACAAATGGCACTATTTCATCTTTTCTTATGGCAGAGTAGTATTCCATTGTGTATATATACCACATCTTCTTTATCCAATCATCTATCGAAGGACACTTCGGTTGTTTCCATGTCTTGGCCACCATAAATAGAGCTGCAATGAACTTCAGGGCATATATCGTTACAGATAAATGTTTACAGTTTTTTGGGGTATATGCCCAGGAGAGGGATTACTGGGTCTTACGGTAATTCTATTCTTAATTTTTTGAGGAACCTCCACACTGCCTTCCATAGTGGCTGCACCAATCTGCAGTCTCACCAACAGTGCATAAGGGTTCCTTTTTTCTCCACAGCTTCTCCAACAGTTATTTTAGTCTTGTTGATGATAGCCATTCTAACTGGTGTGAGGTGACATCTCATTGTGGTTTTTATTTGCATTTCTCTGTGATTAGTGATGTTGAACATTTTTCACGAATCTGTTGGCCATCTGTATGTCCTCTTTGGAGAAATGTCTATTCAGGTCCTCTGCCCATTTTTTAATTGGGTTGTTTTTTTGTTGTTGAGTTGTATGAGTTCCTTATATACTTTGGATATTAGCCCCTTACCAAAGGTGTTGTTTGCAAAAATCTTCTCCCATTCTGTTGGTTGCCTCTTTATTTTGTTGATGGTTTCTTTTTCTTTGCAGAAGCTTTCCAGAGACATTTTAAATGAACTGTTTTTTAAAACTGTGGTGTGAGGGTGAAGAATATAATGACCACTCGTACAGTTTGGTACTCCTACCTTGATTCTCACTAAAGGACCAGCAAAGTTACCCATCAGTGATTCTGTCCTATAGTGAAGTTTCAAACTAGTGAAAAAGGCAAATATTATTTTAGAAATGTAAGGAGTTTTGACCTTGTGGGCCTGTGAAAAGTATCCTGGGGACCCTCAGGGTGTGGTCCACTTTGAAAACCAATAACTTAATAAATCTAGGCAATGACCATCAAAAAGACAACCAGACTTGTATTTTTTTTTTCCTCCAGACCTGTATTTCTTAATGGAAGTGTACACCACCACCACTGAGGTACTCTTGTCAGAAATATAATCTTGAATTCTGGCCAAGCCTCCACACCTAACAGCTAGTTTATGGAATATACAGGAAACAGAAACATATATCATGACATCTAATGGAAATAATCAGCAAAAATCCTGAATGCGGGGAAACTTTTTAGAATAAGCTAGTTCTTCAAAAAATAAATTAGGGGAAAAAATAAAAAAAGATGGGAGTAGACACCTATATATTAAGAGATTTTAAAGACAACCAAGTAGCTGCAATGTATGAATCTTATCTGGATCCTGACTCAAGCAAATTGCAAAAAAATATTTCTGTTTGAGAATAATTACATTATTTGATGATATTAATGAACTTAATTTTTTAGGCGCAAGGATAGTATAGTTCTTATATTTTAGAAACATACATTAAGACATTTATAGTTAAAATGAAAGTTTCATAATGCAGGATTGAACATAAATTCTAAGGAAAAAACAAGGACAGTCATGAATCCCTTAACAATGGGAGTATGGATCACAATGATTTCATCGTGTGAACATCAGAGTGCGCTTACACAAACCTAGATGGTACAGCCTACTACACACCTAGGCTATCTGGTATAGTCTGTTGCTCTTAGGCTATAAGCCTGTGGAGTCTTACTATACAAAACAACATGAGACTAAATTAAGCACACAAGAAGATGACAAATCAAGAGCCATAATAAACAGGAAAGGTATAAGGCTGCCAATGTAACATGGTAGACTATTTTACAGTAAACTACTTTTTTATAAGTATAAAGAGAACGCACTAAAAGGATTAAAAATATAGTATAGGAAATACATAAAGCAACAAGTTTTTATAAAGTATGTACTATACATAATTGTATGTGCTATACTTTTATACGAGTGGCAGTACAGGTTTGTTATACAAGCATCATCACAAACAAGTGAGTAATGCATTTCAGTAGGAATTCTATGGCTCCATTATTATCTATGAGATCACTCTGGTAATATGCAGTCGTCATCAACCAAATATTGTTATGCAGTCCATGACTGTCAAGGATAGAGCTAACTTGGGGTGGGGCAGGGCATGAAAAAAGTGCCTGTATGATTGGTGCTGTTTACTGTAAGCTGGACTATGTAGCTTTTCTGAAGAAAGCCCTCCCAGCCCATGATCACCAAGGTGATATCATAGACCTCCCCCGGGAAAAACTCTGCTTGAAGAATTTCTGAAGAGCCTAGAAGAAGGAAAACATATTCCAAAGAGGATCAGGACCTTAGCTTGGGATTTTTCCTAGAAAAAGCTCACAGATCATCTAATATTGGAAATATTCTGTGGTACTTCTTCAACGTGTATTTATTGAGCACCTATATTCTATACTGCAAACTCCAGCAAGGCACTAAGGAAAATATTTTACCAACAATAATAATAGTAACAATAATAATAATAATAAAAATAAGACAGCTCTTAGTTGGTGACATACAACCTAGTTTTGAGAGAGACACATGGTAGTGTTGGGGAGGTTTCACCCCAATACATAACTACTGAGCATTTAACTAAGTGCTAGTTGTGACATGTCTGGGATTCTGGGTTCCTCAAATACAGATGCCTTGTGTGACACCTAGCTAGGAAACAATCAGAATAGATATGGTCAATAAGGAAGATCACAACATCCCTGCCCACTGATGCATCCTTTTCTGCAAATGCTTTCTTGATTTCTAAGTGATGAACACCTATTTATTGGGTAGTTTGCCTTGACTGTCTACTTAAACACACAAGACCGTATCACTGTGATCTGTTTTACTCAAGAAGAGTTTGGTATTGTGGAAAAACATGTCTGAAAAATCAGTATTTTTTAAATTTACGGTGTCTTAACACATACCATGGACTATGCAAAGTGTTTGGTGCTACAGTTGTGAAACATCCTAAGGGTACTTTTCCTCTGTGAAGTGTGTAGTCTAGTGGAGTAAAAACAGACAGTACCTATGAAAGCAATACAGTTGCTGGGCCATGAAAGGGAATGGGTTCTTGCCATCTGCAGTGGCATGGATGGACTTGGAGGGTATTGTGCTGAATGGAGTATGTCAGACAGAGAAAAATAGATACAATGTGGTTTCACTTATATGTGGAATCTAAAGAACAAAATAAACAAACAAAACAAACAAACTCATAGATACAGAGAACATTTTGATGGTTGCCAGATGGCAGGGGGATTGAGAGGGTGGGTGAAAAAGGGGAAGGGATTAAGAAATACATTGGTTGTTACAGAGTAGTCATTGGGATGTAGGGTATAGCATAAGGAATACAGTCAATAATATTGTAATAACTATATATGATGTCAGATGGGAACTAGATTTGTTGGGGTGATAGGAGGCGGGTAGGGGGACAGGGTGAAAAAGGCGAAGTGATTAAGAATTACAAATTGGTAGTTACAAAATAGTCATGGGGATTTAAAGTAAGGCATAGGGAATATAGTCAATAATATGGTAATAACTATGTATAGTGCCAGGTATGTACTAGACTAGTCGAGGGATCACTTCTTCAATTATACAAATATCTAACCACTATGCTATACACCTGAAATTAATATAAAATACCAAATGTGAACTTTAATTAGAAATTTAAAAAAGGGAAGGAAAGGTGAAGAGCAGTAAGAGGTCCAAATTTTCCAGTATAAAACAAGTCAGGGGGATGTAACATACAGCATGGGGAATATAGTCAAATATTGTGATAGCATGGTACGATGTCACATGGTTGCTGGACTTATGGTGATGACTTCTTTAGGTATGCGAGTAAATAGGATAACCAAGGTGTACACCTGAAACACACATTTTGTATGTTAACTATATTTTTTTAATAAAAATAGTTTTTTAAAAAAAGTAATCTAGTTAAGAGGTGGAGTTTTGTTCTCAGTAGGATGAGACTGAGAAGAAAATGTTAAAGGGATTAAGCAAACAACACTTTCAGACCCCGGAGTAATAATGATGAACTTCAGTAATCTAAAGAAAGACAACACATCTTTGGGATAAAAATAAATGTGGTTTTCAGGTAAACTGTTGCTTTCTAGAATTAACCAAAAAAGGCAATGAAGATTTGTTTCAGAAAGTGACCAGGAAGTGGTACAGAAACCATCAGTGGTCATGCCTGAAACTCGGTATAACATAAATGAAAGCCAGCCAGCCTGGGTTTTAATCCTAGTGCTGTTATTTACTAATAAGAATCTTAGGAAAGTTCCTTTACCTAATGCCTTGACTTCCCAATTGGCAAAATAAGATAATAGTAACACCTATTTCATGGGATTGTTATGAGGATTAAATAGGTTAATACATGTAAAGTACTTAAGAATACTGCCTGCATATATATTAACTACTAAATAAATGTTCGCTATTATTATCCTGTAAAAATAACCAACATAAAATTAAACGTCAATAGATAACCCACATTCCCATTTTCTGGCATAACAAGAAGCAGATTAAAAAAAAAACAGTAGGAAACCAAGACCACTTTAAATATTGTACAAGATGGGATAAAAAGCACAGGTGTACAAATGATTCATTTAAAAAAAATACTCTGTAAACAAATTAACATTCTGAAAATATCAGATACTTTTTCAGAATGATTAAAACTCACTAAACATCTGTAAACAAGAATAAATTTATTTAATTTCTTTTAAAGATTTAATGATATACAAAATGTATATAATATATTTAATACATTTTTCTGTCTCCCCCATCAATATTAAACACTATTTAAACAGCTCATCTCTTGCCTCGTCTGTATCTATAAGATACACTACTGAATACAAATAAGATTTACACTGCTGCCCCCAAATAAAAATTAAAATTAGTACCTAGGAGACAAATGAAAAGGGAAAAAAAAAGAAAAAATATCAAAGCATAAAACTTTAGTCAGATGAAAAGCTTTTCTTGCTGTTGAGTATTCAACAATATCTGGGGCAGTTAAACTACATTTTATTGACATAAAGTTGCATTGCAATCTCCCGACATAATTATCCAACTCAACTTCTTAAATAAGTACCACAAACAAAATTCATGTTTGGATGTCCCGACACAATTTTAAATAGATGCACGAGTTCATGTTTACATCCTGATTTGGTATACTGGTCAAGAAAATCTTTGGAGAAGTATGTAACTTCCAGGTTGTCATGACAGATACAGACAGGGAAAAAGTACTAACTTTTCTCACAAGGTAACTTCTCTTGAACAGAGTTAAGTTTCTCCTTGGATATATTTAGGTTATACCAGATCTACCATGGCTTTCTTCTACTTAACAATGACTTGATAAAAAAATGTTCTAAAAAAAAAACTGCTAATACTTCCACACAATTTGGGTTCTATTTAACAAAAACTGGCTCTACCTTTAAATATGGAGCCTAAACCTGATTCATAAAGTCCCTCTTAAAAAATGATTTTGAGTTCAGGCTTCTTACATCCCTGTGGATCTAGAAATAATAAGTCACCACCTGTCCTGTGGCCAACAAGCATCTAGCTAGGAACTAAGTGACATCATCACCGAACACACTGAAACACACTGAGGAAGACGTCTGACTGCCATTTAACCGGAAGGCTGGGTGATTTCTTCATTTCGCTAGCTGAATGGCAGTAAACCAGCTGCCAATAACACCTGCACGAACACACAACTTTGGTTAATGGTATTGCACCACATGAGAGAGGGTATCATCCTCATCAGAACAAAGTAAAATGAAATCCTCTGCTGAAAAGAGCCCTTTAAAAAATTACAAATACTAATTTTCCTTTACTTTTAAATTTAACAGCTGCTAGCTGTATCCTATAGGGAGCTCCTGACTGACTAGTTTCATCAGGTCCAAAAAATATTGACCTTTTAATTGTGCCAGAGTCAGTATATTCAATTTGCACATACTTTTCTATATTACCAAACAATTTCCTCATGAAGGAAAAGCGACAGAGTAACATTGTTGTGAGGTGTAAGCAAAACCAATGATTCAGTTATAACATCAGACGAATAGAATTAGTTGATTCTGATTCTTTGGTGGAATTTCCAGACTGAAGAGTCACATCCTCAGAGGGCTCATCCTGAGGAAATATAATTATATCAGGTGTATAGTCATTCCTCTTCAGGTCTATAGTCACCATTGCAACAAAAAAAGAAAAAAAAAATCAGTATTTCTTAGAAAAGAAAAATTAAGAACATTTCTACATCAATTTTTCTCTAAACATGCCAGATCTACTTTCTACCAAGGTTGTTATAAATTCAAAAAGTCACAAAATTTATACACATATAAAATGAAATCAGACATTCATCCATCTAATAATTATTATGCTCTGACCATGAATCATTAACTCATGTAAGTGTGGAAATATAACAATGAACAAGACAGAAAAGGTCCCTGCTCTCAAGGAACTTATATTCTAGGGGGTGAAGAAATAGAAAAATGACAGAATTATAAGTAGTAACAAGTGCTTTGAAGAAAACAATGTGATGAGGGCCAGATGAGAGATGGTATAAGGTGATTCTTTTAGACAGAGTTGTATGGAAAAGCTATAGGAGTAACATTTGAGTGAAGACCTGAATATTGAGAAATGACCTATTAAAGCTCTAGGGGGAGTATTTTAAGCAGAGGAAGGTTAACGGCAGACTATAAGAATGAAATGGACTTGGTGCATTCTCAGAATGGCATGAAGATAGTGTTGTTTCCATACAATGAACGATGGGAAGACTAGCAGAAAATGAGGTCAAGCAGCAGTTAATGGCCAAGCATTATCAAACTACAGTCTGCGCACCAAATCTGCTTGGCTGTTTTTATTAATAGTTTTGTTGGAAAAAAGCCACAATCGTTTGTTTCTAGAATCTCTATGCCTATTTCTGCACTACAATAGTAGAGCTAGGTAGCTGTGACACAGGCCATATGGCACATAAAGCCTAAAATATTTGCTACCTTGCCTTTTTACAGAAAAGATTGCTGACCCCTGATTAATGGTAAGGAGTACAGATTACAACGAAAATCCACTGAAAGGTTTTAAGCAGTCTTAAGGGAGAAAAGTCAGATTTGTTTTTTTAAACGACTATTCTGATTACCATGTGAAGTCTTATTAGGAGGCAAATGGTAAGAACCCAGGAAACAAAATGGTGGCAATGTAGATAAAGAGAAATTGATGAATTCTAGGATTTCAGAATTAGAGTAGACAGAATCTGACAGATTGGTTCTGAAAGGTGAGAGGAAAAAAAGGAATTGGCTAGGTTTTAGGTTTTGAGCCTGAGCAATTATGTAACCATTAATGAGATGGGGAAGCCAAGTTTTTTTGAGTGAGGGTATAAAATAAAAGTCAAAAGTTCTGGAATGAACATGTTATTTATAAAGATGCTTTCGGTTATCCAAGAATAAATGTAGGAAACTGAATATAAAAATAGGAGCTCAGGAAAGAAGTTGAGGCTTCAGTTAATTTGGTACTATCAGTATGTAGACTGCCTTTACAGATGTGGGATAGGATGAAATCACTTAGGGAGTTATGGGTATATAGGACAATAGTTGCAGAATTGGGAAACAATGCAGTAATATCAAATTTATAATTCAACCATATTCATGTATTTACCCTTATATTTTTATCTCCATATAAAATAGGACTGACACTCAGGATACAAACTTTCATTTTAATTTGAGTAACAGTCTATATTCAATAACACAAACACATCCAAGTACTTGCTACTGCATGAATAATTTTTGATAAATTTTGAATTCAATACTATGCCAGTATGGCCTTAGGGAATGCAAACTAATTTGTAGCTGCATTGTACACAAAGAACAATGGAGAAAATTATAAATCATGCCCTGTTAATGTTGCTAACTAATAGTGTAACCATGGACAAATTAGTCTCAAGATCCTGGGGGATAGTAATCAAAGGTCTAACATTCTTATTATGGGAACCCAGAAAGAGATGAAAAGAGATCGATGCAGAACAAATATTTGAAGAAGTAAAAGCTTAAAACTCCCCAAATTTAATGTAAGTTATAAATATGCAAATTCAAGAAGCTAAATAAACCTGAAACTAAATAAACTCATAGAAAGCCACAACTAGAAATATTAGAATTAAACTGTTGAATACTAAAGATAAAGAACAAATCTTGAAAAGAGCTAGATTATGACACATCACATATAGGGAAAGAACAATTCAAATGACTGTGACGTTTTCATCAGAAATAATACAGGCCAGAAGACAACAGAATATTTTTTAAGTGTTTAAAATGAAGGGTCAACCTAAAATTCTACATCAGTGAAAATATCCTACAGGAATGAAGGCAAAATACGCACATTCTTAGATAACTAAAGAGGAACCATAACATAAAGATAAAATAGAATACTAAAACAGATAGAGGGACCCCCCCCAAAAAAAAACAAACCAGAGATATCAATCAGAAAATGATAAAACAGCAGATCTAAATCTAACCATATCGATAATTACATTAAATGTTACAGAGTTTAATCTGAGGAAAAAAAATGTAAAGTGTCTAAAACACCAATTAAAGATGGGAATCATGAGATTTAAAAAAACAAATTAAGGGGCTGGCCGAGTGGCTCAGTTGGTTAAGAGCATGAGCTCTGAGCAACAGGGTCGCTGGTTCGATTTCCACATGGGCCAGTGAGCTGCGCCTGAGCTGAGCAATGTAACGAATGTATAACTGGAGTCCCAGAGGGAAGAGGGTGAGAGAATAGGGTAAAAACATATTTTAAGAAAACAATGGGGCCAGCCAAGTGGCTCAGTTGTTTAAGAGAGCAAGTTCTGAGCAGAACTTGTGGGAACAGAGTCAGCAGTCTGATTCCCACATGGGCCAGTGAGCTGTGCCTGAGCTGAGCTGCCAGCTCAGCTGGTGAGAGCATGTGCTCCTAACAACAAGGTTGCCAGTTCGACTCCTGTATGGGCTGGTGGGCTATGCCCACCCGTAACTAAGACTGAACACAGCACCTTGAGCTGAGCGGCTGCGAGCTGCTGTCAGGCGGTCGGATGGCGACTGGACATGGAGCTGAGCTAGCTGCGCCCTCCACAACTAAGATTGAAGGACAACAATTTGGCCGTTCCCCTTCCCCAATTCCCTAACACTGTTCCCTTTCCCCAATTCCCCAACAAAATCTTTAAAAAACAAAGAAACAAACAAATTAAACCAAGGACCCAACTATATGCTGTTTACCAGAAACACTTTAAATATAATTAATATATATATAGGTAAAAAAGAATGGGAAAAGATATCTGATGAAACTACTAATTAAAAGATAGCTAAAGTAGCTATGTTAATATCAGACGCAGGGGACTTAAGAACAAGGAAAATTACCATGGCATTACATACTGCTAAAAAGAATCAGTTCACCAAGAAGATATAACAACTGTAAATGGAAATGAACCTAACAGCAAAGCTTCAAAATAAATGAAAAATAAAGCTGAAAGGCAAAACAGATGAATCCACAATTACGCTTAGAAACCTCCTTTCTTAAGTAATCAATAACAAGTGGACAGAAAATCAGCAAGGATATAAAAAATCCTGAACACTATCAAAACTTTCCTTAATTAACATTTATAGACACACCACTCAACAGCAGAATATTCTCTTCAAGTGCATATGCAACGTTCACCAGAGAGACTATTAAATGGTTAGAAAAATTTTAATTGAAATCACACAAAGTATGTTCTCTTATTTTAATCAAGTTAGATAAGAAATCAATAACAAAAAGACAACTGGAAAATTTACAAATATTTGAGAAGTAAAAAAGACACTTTTAAGTAATCCATAGGTCAAAGAGGAAATATCAAGAGAAATAAGAAATATTTTTAAGTGAATAAAAACAAAAATAAAACATACCAAAATTTATGGGATGCAGCTAACACAATGTTTACAGGGAAATTTATAGCACTAAATGTTTTTCTTAGAAAAGGTCTCAAATCAATAAGCTTTTACCTTAACAAACTAGAGAAAAACTAAATCCAGAGCCAGTCGGAAGATGAAATTAGAGTAAAACAATGAAAACAAAAGCTGGTGCTTTGAAAGTATCAATAAAATCAACATGCCTTTAGCCAGACTGACCAAGAAGCAAAAGCACAAATTACCATAATAAAAGACATAACTCACCACAGACCCCACAGACATTAAAAAAATAAAATATTAATATAAATAACTATGCCCATAAATCTGACAATTCAAATAAAATGGACCAGTTTCTTCCTTGAAAGACACAAACTACTAAAACTAACTCAAAAAGAAACTGATAACCTCAACAGTCCTATATTTATTAAAAAAACCCAAACACTTGTTAAAAACCATCCGACACAGAAAACTTTAGATTGAAATGGTTTTACTAGGCTATTCTACAAAACATTAAAGTGGGGATATCAATTCTATATACATAATCTATTCCCAAAACCAGAAGAGGTGTGAACACTTCTAACTTATTTTTAAGGTTAATATTATCCTGATATCAAAACAAGACAAAGACAGTACAAAGGAAAAAAAAAAACCCTATAGATCAATTTTCTTCATGAACATAGATGCAAAAATCCTCAAGAAAATATTAGCAAATTGATTTCAGCAATACATAAAAAAAGATAATATATTATGAGAAAGTGTAGTTTATCCTGGGAATTCAAGACTGGTTCAACATTTCAAAAATAAATGTAATACAATATAATGTTAACCAATTAAAGAAGAAAAATGATTGTATAAATAGATGCAGAGAAAAACATCTGACAAAATTCAATATCCATTCAGGATAAGCATTTTCAAGAAATAAGTAAAAGCAAACTTCTTTAACTTAACAAAGTGCATCTGTAAAATCCTTTACAGCTAAAATCATCTTAATGGTGAGAGACTGAATGTTTTTTCCCTTGGGACCAAAGCAAGGATGTCTACTCTCATTATTCCTACCTATTGGAATTCCTTGCAAAAAGTCAAGAAAAAGAAATAAAATGCATACAGGGTGGAAAAGGAGTGACAACTGTCTCTACTGTGTACACAGAAAATTCCAAGGAGTTTACAAAAAAACCAACAAAACTCCGAAAGATAAGTTTAGCAAGGTTGCAGGATGCACTATACAGAACAACAAAAACACAACAGTATTTCTGTATACTAACAATGAACAATTAGGTGTTCTCTAAAGCTATGCAGTCTGGCTCCCAAGTCCAAGCTCTTAACAACTACATTATTGGTCATAGTGAGAGGAACTATAAAAATACAGCTCCAGGTGAGTCCCAGGCATCTGTAATTTTTAGAAAGTTCCACAGGAAATTAAGATGCACACCAAAGGGTGAGAACCACTGGTTTATACTATAACTTACAATTCAGTAATAACTTATAATTCTTCAAATACAAAGATGAAGTTACGATCATGAAAGAAATGTATCTGCAGTTTCTGATCTTGGCTTTCATGGAGTACTCTTTTCTCAACTCTTTGCCAGGCTAACTTGAAAGTCTATTCATCCTTCAGTTTTAGGCAAAGCTACCAGTTCCCTAGGTAGCAGCACCCTCTGACCTCTAAGCGTGTGTTAAGTGATCTATTTACCTGTTCTGTCTTTTCTGCTTGGCATTTATGAGTCCTATAACTAACTCCCTGTTAATCTTGTCAGTATTCAAGATTTGACTAAACTGCATTGAGGGCAGGGACCACGTTTGAGTCACTATTGTATTGTTAACATCTAGCACAATTCCTGGCATTTAGCATAATAAATATGTATTAAACAAATGAACTTTGTGTTTTTATAAGTAATGAAAGAAAGCATAGATCCATTTATAACCAACAATGTGTATTTGTGTCTCTGGCCTTAAAAAGAAAGCATTGTAGTAACAAACTTTGCTAACAATTTATATATTACATTGATTAAGAAAATGTTTACCTGGAAGTTTAAGCTTTCTACAGCAAGAATTACAGTGATGTTTTGCTCTAAAGTTTTTTATTGCATCTTCTCCGAGATTTGCTGGGCCAAAAACCATATCACAGGATCTACGGAATTGGTAGTTAAAAAACAAGTTTATGCAAATAGAAATGTGGAATTTAAAGTTGTGAAATTAAGTCTTAATGAATTATTAAAACTTATTACCTCTTTTCTTCTGCTTTTATCACAGATGGGTCAGTCAAATTTTCACCCACTCCTTTATACATATATATAAAAAAGACAATTTATATTACATAATTGATGTAAACATTGACATCTGCATAATAAAAATAGTCATGAGAGGTTTTCTAGCATCATCAACCCATTGACCATTACACAATGTCAAATTATTCAAAAGAGTGTAGTTTTTCTCTCTTGATATTTCATAACTTAACTTATGACTTCAACACCACATCAGGAACAAACACAATTCCTGCAATGTGAACCAGTTAAATGTGAGAATTGGTAGGTATGCATGTGAGCTCCTGATGGCACTAGCTTCTGTGCAACAGGGTCAAGGTTGCAAGCAAATATCTCCTTACGTAAAAGATCTACACAATATGTCCTTGTTAACCTCAGTTAGCAAAGAACAATTAGGTTCTTAAAGGCATGAAGAATAAAATGGTGGACATCTTCCTTTACCTCCAGCCCTCCCCAGAGGTTGTCAAAAGTGTGGTTAAATCTTTTCAGTCTCTTCCATCTATTCATTCTTATAAATAAATAAAGAACGCCAACTGACATACGAATAATCATAGTTAACCCACCAGGATGAAATCTAATATAATGGTTACAATTTCACAATAGGAAAAAACAGAATTAAAAACATGATACTACTTTCTACTCATCAGATTAGCAAAAATTAAGAATATCCAATCCTGGAGAGATTGGGGAGAAATGGGCACTCACAGTGTTGAGTATGAATTCCTACAACCTTTTGGAAAAGTAACCTGGCAGTAGGTATTAAAACTGCACTCATCTCTTCTTATTAACCCAATTTAGGAATCTACTTGATGGAAGTAAAAATAGGAGTACACGAGTATGTTTGTTGCAGCACTGTTTGTAATAGCCAAAAAACAAAACACCCAATCAAAAACAAAACAAAAAACTACAAATAGGGTGAATGTCTCTCAATAGAGGATATAAATCATGCTATTACCTCCATACTACAGACTATCCTGCAGCTATTAAAAAGAATAACTCAGATTCATTAGTAATGACCCAGAAGATGCCCATGATATATTGTTAAGTGGAAAAAAAACAAATAAAAACAAACACCCGTGTGCATGATCCCAGTTGGAAAAAAATCACAACACAACACAAAATGATTAAAAGAAAAAAGTGCCTGTGTATTTGTGTATTTGTCTTAAGAGGTTAAAAAAAAACCCAAAAAGAGTACACTTTGTTCTTTATATTTTTCTAAATTAACTATTTGCAGTAAACATCTACAATATTTCTTTGAAAAATGGCTCCATGAACATATTAATTATGTAGAAAACATCAAAACTAGTTTGCTTACTGAAAATAACTGACATCTTTTAAATTAAGTGTAGACAAAATCTGTTTAGCCTCACTTCCTACACATGTTTGGAGATAGTTAAATGATGCTTATTTAAGAATATACTTTAAAATCCTTTTTATTTAATTGGACTTGCCTGTCTAATAATAAACATCAGCTTTTCACAATATATATCACTTATCATTTGTGTAAAATGATGAACTACTGTAAAAAGAATAGGCATTTTTACAGATTATCTTTCTTGAGCTAAATCAACACCAACTGCTTGCTTTTCAACAAATACTTTATATTTGTATCTATATAATGAAAGAAGTCATGAAGTGACAAACATTGTAAACAAGTTATGTGAGGTTGAAATCTGGTCTGTGTTGACATTTGAAATTAAGGCTGCTCTTTAGGGAAAAAATTATGAGAGCTACAATGTGAAACCATCATCTAGGCAGAGCTGGCAACATGGTCAATTTTACTTGCCTCTGACCCGTCGTGAAGATGCACAGACATTACTCTAAGCAAATCTGCCCAATCCCAGGCATGACTTCTTTTCCTTTTTTTTTTTTTTTACATGTATGACACACTGTCAACAAAGATGTCTATGACCAGTTTTCCCCTCCTTATAACATGGCTCCACCAATCAAGTGCTGGAATGTATTCCCTACCTTTAGAATCTGGTCTGTCTTTACAGCCTTGACCAGTAAAATGTGGAAGAAGGGATCTGGGCCAGTTCTGGGCCTGATCCTAAGAGTTTCTGCTTTCTCTCTGGAGGAAGCCAGTTACCATGTAAGAAATCTAGCTACTTGAAACTACCATGCTATGAGAAAGCCCATGTTTGTTAGCAATATCACTTTGTGGAGAACTGAGGAATTCAGCTGTCAGAGTACAGAGGCCTCCGACATTTGAGTCCAGTCAAGCTGTGCAAACTAGTACTGAGCCATTTTGAACCTTCCGAGGGGACAGCAGAGATGAGCCATCCCCACTAGGCCCTGTCCAAATTCCTGAGCCAAACAACTATAAGCAAATAAAATGCCTGTTTCAATCCACTAACCGTTTAGGTAGTTTAGTTCATAGTAAGAGACAACATAAACACCAGGAACAATAGATACTTTTACTGTTTTAAAGAAACGGTCTTCATATTTTTAAGACTAAGGCTATATATGTGAGAGTAGAATAGGGGATTTTACATTTTTGCTTATCAAACATTTATATTAACTAAATAATAATTAAGATAGCCAGAGATGCAAATATTCAAGGCCCTGATGGCTGTATGCTATGGCAGTTACCGACTTGCTTTTAAATAGACTCTACTGACCTAAGATTTTACCTACTTATAAATTAGCAGATTTCTGTAAATCATTCACAACATATAAATAGGTAAGAGCCTACTGTACAATTACACTTTAAAAGTATTTTAATAAATTTACCTTGCAAATCAAGTACCAGTAATTCCCCTCTTGTATATTCGTAAGTCCAGTGGCTAAAGGCTAACATGATCTCTTCCAATGTATTAGTTGGAATAATCTCATCACCATTATTATTGTTGTATTTTCTAAATTCTCCAGTCATACATTCTTCCACAGCAAACCACTGTCCTGCTGAATGGCAATACAGCAGGAAAACTTCAAGGAACCTTATAAAAAACAGTTATAAATATTACTAACAGTTTTGCCAATAAAAGTCTAATTGATCTTTAAAATGAATGAATAATTACATATTCAGCATCAATAATGAAAGTCAAAAGAGAATGCTATCCACATACCCCTAAAAGATCCCAGAAAAATTTAAAGATTTACCTTGGAGAATATGGTATGGATTTGGGCTTCATTTGGTTGAAGGCAAATGTGAGTTTCTGTGCTGCTCTCTGTTGCTGAATTTCCTACAGAACAGAAAAATAAACCCTTTTCAACACTGAAACTAAGATTTTACTTGGTTTATTATATTTTAAAAGTGAAAACATGAAGCTCAAATAATGTTCTACTGTTATACATTCATTAGCACTTACTCTGAGACAGAGATGTAGAACTGTATCTTCTTTGTAAATACTTGACCATGTGTTAACCACCTCAGGAAGGAAAGATTTGATAATATAAAGATGCCCTGATTTGAGGATATCATGTTCTGACCAGGTACACTGTACTTTCACAGCTCTCCGTAAACCTCCTCCCATCTCCTCTTTACTTAAAAACTCTATTTTGGCACAAAGGCCTAGCTGTGACCAAGAAGACATGCTGTTATTCAATATGTTGGGTGAACTCTCTTCCAAGCGATACACTGTGACAGGCTCACCTGCAACATAAATGAATACATTTTAAGGTCACATTGTAACTCTTTAAAAATGACAAAGTGGAATAAAACTGAAAGGTATCTTTGGTTCATATTAAGTAAGCAATAGAACAGAAGAGCCAAATTGCAGTTTTATACAAAAAATTAAAGGACAACAAATGCTCAGAAATCAATCTAACATTTCTAAATTCAAGTGTGTTTAATAACGATAAGCACTTTTGAAATTGTATTCATTTTCAAGAAAAACTTTTAGAAAGCACCTGTGGCTCTAAACACTCTAAATTAAACTTTTAGACAGAAGGTTAGAACTTTCTATTCTATAAACCCTGTGATGCTGATTTATCTATGCTTTCACTACCAGACAAGGGATTAAGAGCTTCTTAATTAGAATATATCACTGCTTCTGGATATACAAGAAAAAGAGAAATTCAATATTTCTGATGCTTCCTTTTTCTATTAAAACATACCTGACTCTTATAGCAGTCAGGCTAATTAAAATTTATATGAAATTGACACTTACTAACGTGATTCTTCTTTCTGTCACCACCCCGTGCCCTATATTCTAACTAAAAATCACAAATTAATCAAGTTATGTTCCCTTTTCTTTACTTTTTGAATTTACCTCTTGGAGGCACAGGTGTAAATGGAATGCTCTGGGATAATCTCATCAAGTTATTTCTTTCCACAGCTGCATAAAAATGAGAGAGAAATAAATGAAAACCCTAAAAGCTAAAAATATTATTAAATTTTGTTTTTAATATTACTGACCTGAGTAATAGTAATTTGTATCCATAACTGGCTTAAATGGAGAAGCGAGACCTAAAATGGCAAATAAACAAATGAGACCCTTTTAAAAGTACTGATGCCACATAAATGTTTGCCCAGATATTCTCATATAATTGTCCTAAGTTTCCTTCATATAAACTCTCTTCACAAAACCAGATAAAACAAGTATTATAATAAAACATGTTGCTCATGTGCCATAGTACCCTATTTCATTATGCCAGATTAGTGGTAACTGTGCACTCAAAAACCTGGAAGGGAAAAAAGCACATGATATTTCACACTCTCCTATCATAAATAAACACCATTCTTCCTATACCCCCTATTCAAAAAGAAAAATATTTTTTAGTTTCAGACCTTTGGGGACTGGGGCCTGTAGCCATGTAACCATTTTAGTGGGCTGACCATGAGAAGATGAACTTCTGGAATATTAAACATACCAAAAAAGCCCCTCCTCCATCTCTCAATGTAACTGAGGACTTTACTTTTTAACTGTAGTGAAAAAAGTGGAAAGTAAATTGAATCTTCTATGTGTTGTTTCTAGAATATAAATGAAAAAGAACCTATTGTCTTGCAGAAGGAAGTTAGTCAACAGTTTCAATACTATGTGATAAATGCAAAATACATATACATGTGTGTATGTACACGTAAACTCTCTCTCCCTCTCTCTCCCTCTCTCCCTCTCTCTCTCCCTCTCTCTCTCCCTCTCCCTCTCCCTCTCTCCCTCTCTCCCTCTCTCTCTCCCTCTCTCTCTCTCTCTCTCTCTCTCTCTCATTATAGGACTATAGAGGAGAGGACTATAGAGGAGGGGTACCAAATGCCTCCTGGTTGAAGAGCAGTTAAAGGCTGGTATAAGAATCACCTATGGGGCTCTCTCAACATACACCTACCCAGATCTCATTCCAAATAATTCTGTTGGTATGTGTCATCATACAAGTGATTCTTTATAAGTATTAGTATATGCAACCAAGATTGCAAATTAATAAACAAGAGTGTAACATACCTGTAGAAGGTAAAGCTACAGAAGCAGGGAATACCAAATTGTTAAGAGTCAAATATGCCATGCTAAGAAAGGATACTGGATTTTGTGCATACTGGATTTTGACAGTGCAATGACAGTGGAAAAAATGTGAAGCAGAGAAGTGACAAGATCAGATCTTTTAGAAGAATCATTTTGGTGGCAGAATAATTGACTAGAAAGGAGGCCAAACCGGCACAACCACTTCGAAAACCTATTTGGCAGTAATTATAAATGTGAACATAGGCATACTCATCACTTAGCAATTCCACTCCTAGGTATATACCCAACAGAAAATAAATACATGTATTTTCCAAACAACACGAACAAGAACACTTATAACGGCATTATTCATAATAGGCACACATTGGAAACTGCTGAAATGCCCATCAAATAGCAGAATGGATAAGTAAATTCAATATATTCATACAAGGAAATACTGTACAGTAGTGAGAATACACAAACCACCACTATAAACAGCAATATTGATGAATCTCATAAACATATATTAGCAGGAAGAAGTCAGACACAAAAGAGTACATATTTTATGATTCCATTTATATACTATACACACACACACAAAACTAATCTATTGTGTTATTTTGGGTTAGGAGTTAACATAAGAAGGGGACACAAGAAGCTGAGATAGTGGCAACATTCTATTTTGGGATCTGGGTGCTGATTACATGGGTATGCTCACTTACTGAGAATTCATTGAGGTGGAGGCTTATCTGCACTTTTCTATATACATATTATATACTTTAATAAGAGCTTAAAAAAATGATGAAGGTCTGAACTGAAAGCAGCATCAGGATGTACAGTGGAGGATGGATTCTAGAGAGATTTAAGAGGTAAATACAACAGGACTTTGTGAGTGTGAGGTCAGGGGGGTCAAAAATAACTCCTGCGGGCCAGCCGAGTAGCTCAGTTGGTTAAGAGTTAGCTTAGCCGGCCAAGTGGCACGATGGTTAAGAGCTGGTTTGGGACGCCAGAGGGCCCCGGTTTGGATCCCACATATGAGGGCCAGTGCCACTGCCCTCCACAGCTAAGATGCTGAACAACAGCTCAACCTGGAGCTGGGCTGCTGTGAGTCACCAGCCACGGTGTAGGCTGCAGCCTCTGTGGCAGTGGATTGCCATGGGCTACCGTATGTAGCCAGCAGCCAGCGTGAGCGGGCCAGCAGCCAGCGTGAGCGGCCAGCAGCCGCAGTGAGCGGCTGTCCAGAAGCCGGCGACTGATCTGCCTTACCCAGGAAGAGCGCAATGATGGTGCCAACTTGGGCCAGTGAAGCAATATCCTCCACAACTAGACTGAAGAACAAAATGACAGCAACTTGTCTGTTCCCCTTCCCCCAATTCCCCAGCGCTCCCCCTTCCCCGCAATTCCCCAATAAAAATCTAAAAAAAAAAAAAAAGAGTTAGCTTAAGAGCACAAGCTCTGAGCAACAGGGCTGCAGGTTTGATTTCCACATGGGCCAGTGATGTTGCACCCAAAGTGAGCTGCTGTTGAGCTGCCAACAGGTGGCAGGATGGCTCAGCTGGTGAGAGCATGTGCTCCTAACAACAAGGCTTCTGGTTCAACTCCCACATGGGATGGTGGCTACGCCCACCGGCTACTAAGATTGTAACACAGCACCATGAGCATAAGAGGCCATGAGCTGCCAATGGGCAGCCAGATGGCGACTGGCGCCCTTCACAACTAAGATGGAAGAACAACAACTTGGCTGGTCCCCCTCCCCAATTCCCCAACACTGTTCCCCTCCCCCAATTCCCCAATTCAAAAAAAACCCCAACTCCCATTCAGGTTTCACCTAGCTGACTGAAAGAGCATTATTCACTAAAACAGGGAATATAATAAGGGAAAGAGCTGGCTGGGTAGCAGGAATGAAGAGGGGTGGGGTGACAGTAAAGAGATCATCATTCACATGGTGAGTTTGTGTGTTGAAGAGAAAGTAGTTGAGGGAAGACTTTGTACTACACTCACCTTTTGTTTTTAAGGAGGGAGCATATACTGACTTTTCAAAACATGAAGTCTATAATTTCTTACCTAGGATAATATAATATTTGCTATAACAGGTGATCATATATGATCCTTATTTTTTCACATTAACTCTACCACATGGACTCACCATTTAATGTTCCTTCTTCAGATGGCCTAAAGAAATAGCAAAAAATATGTTATGTCACAATTTTAGTTTTGGTTACCATAATTTTTTATTTTATGAAATTATTATGATTATTTAATATAACATTAATAAGGAGTTATGAGATTCAGATACACTTTTTTTTAAAAAGCTTATGAGTTTATTTGAGCCAAACTGACAATTGCCGGGAAGCAAAATCTCAACGGATTGAGAAAATGCTCCCTCAGATTCACTTTTGTTTGAATATCTGCCATTTCCCTTGAGCCAATGCCAAATTCATACACGGATATATGTATATATATATATGTATACACTTTATCAATAACTTGTACCTCCAATTTATGCTTACATAATTATTAGTAGTCTGGTGCCTAAGTGGTAGTTCAATACTAACAGAGTAAAATATGACTTCTCTATTTGCGGAGACTCATTCCAATACTGTAACAATGCCCTGAAAATGACTTTGTAGGATTCTAAAAATACTGCAATAGAATTGATGGACAAAAAACTGAGAAAACAGCAAGTAGATGTCATTTTGCAAAACTCAGTTTCTAATGTTGAAAAAAAATTTCAATATTGAATATATTTATTTATATAGCAATGTATATTGGTACCAAGTGAAGGTTCTATTAATTCCACCAATTTCAGTGCAAGTAAGAGAGACAGGTGTAGTGGAAAAGACAGTGGAATGGGGATCAAAAAAAAGGGTTAGAGGCTTAGCTCTCCCATTACACAGCTAAGTGGCCTTGCTGAGGATTAAAAGGGCTAGATCCAGAAAGGACCTCTGCAGTAGAAGATCTTTGCAGTCTTTTTTCGAGTTCTTACATTCTATCTGATCCTGGTATTTCCTGTTGATTTTCACCTTAGTAATATAAACCTTTTCTTACAGGAAGTATCTTGACCCTAGCATCATTTGTCTGCTGCTGATAAACCACTCTTTTCTCAGCACCCAAAGAATGCTGACCAACTCCACCTTTCTGTAAGACAATGTCCTCATTAGGTGAATTAAAATGAACTGTAAGTACCTATTCTGTATTTACATCCCATGGTTTTGGTGATTAAGAGACATTATAGATAGGTGTTCCAAATGCCATTCAGGGCCAGGATACCCAAAGTTTGAACAACTGCATATCCATGTGGCACTTGGTTTATTTTCTTCTGCATATATTCACATCTATTTTTGAGGCACAGAAAGAAATGGAGAAAACACTGTGGAATATGTAAGAATTTCCCTCAAATTGGCTTCCCTTCTCAAATAGTACATACCAGACAGTAACTTTATCATGCTTCCAGTATTCAGTGAATTGTTTAAGATGACTTTTTTTATAATGTCCTTTGGAATCCTAAAATACTAATTTTCAGGTTGGAAATACAGAAGTTATCTTTGATTTTTATCTTTATGTTTAATCTACACGTATAATTTTTTACTTTCTGGGGACGATTACCTGTCAGACTGCCTTTTGTTTTCACTTTTGGTTCTGGATTATTACCAAGATGTGGGCCTTTAATGTATGCAATGTATTACTGCTCTAATTATCAAACTGCTTTCCAAAAGCAGGTGTAAGGTTTGCTGATTAGAATGATGGGCAGAGAAGTTATTCAAGTGAAAAACTAAAGTGTCAATTACAGTCTTTGAACAAATTTATTCAAGAGTAAGTTGAAAACAAAATAATAAAATCATATTTGTATCATAAGAAAGATTTTAGTACAGTTGTAATTATAGTCTAACTATAATTACAATCTAACTATATAAAATTATAAATTTAAGTGTATACTTTAACACATAATAAATAAGTTCCCCCAATTTCTTTTATACAAAGACAGGAGATGTTTAAAATATATAATCATTATCCAGAGATAAAGGAGCGTTACAAGGATGATGCAAAGGGGGGGGGGAGACAACATTCAATAACTATGATACTTTACAGGCTAGTGATAACAAAAGGCTAACTTACATTTCTCTGTTTGATGGTCTATCTTGTAACCAATCCTTTAGTCAAAAACAAACATGAACAAAAAGTTAAAAGCATAACTGTTTAACACTCTTTTTTCTATGGTACGTTTTAAAAATGATGGACTGAAAAATAATATGAAGTCCTTAATTCATACAACTGAACTAATAAAATAATAAATGAGTATAACTACCACAGGGCATTCCACAAAGTGGAATAAAGAATTTTCTGACTGCCATTTCCTACAACATAGCTAGTTCTTTGTTTCTGATGACTACTTTATTTGCTTTAAATACACATTTGTTTTTATGATTCTAAAGACAGTGTAACCCCTGCCTCCCAAAAAAACACATCAAAGTATAAAGAGAAAAATTAAAATCATGCAAACTGTGAACAGAGAAATCACTAATAACACTTAGGTATATGTCATTAAAGCCTTTTTGCTGTATGTGTATGTGCATATGGTTTTTATTTTGCAGTTTTATAATGATATTTCTGGCTGTGGATTTATTTTTACTTCCCTAGTTTAGGACTTAATGTTTCCTGAATTTGAATCTTCATATAGTTCATCCATTTGCGAAACTCTAATTCATTTATAAATCTCTTCAAATTCTGTGTATTCTTTTAAGGCCAATTTAGAGGTATTTTCCATGTCTCTTTATGCTTAATACATTTTCCATCTAATTATAATTCTATGTTACACTCTGGTCCAATTTAGTTATTCTGTTTTGCTGTTATTTTCACCTCCACTGATTTATCTCTAGATTTTTTTTTCAAATTTGCCAGTCTTTTTGCACAGTCTATTTTCTTTTTTTCATATTTGTAACACTTTCTTTTATGGCTTTAATCACTTTAATCATGTTTACTTTCAAATCAGTAAGTCTACTATCTTCAATTATCAGAGGTCTAATACTATTTGTATAAAAAAATGACTCCCATGAGTTTTGTAATTTGGCATTGTGAGGTCATTTTCAATGGAACTGTATTTGTGGCAAAACCATCCTGCTTAGGTTCAGATGCATCCTTCCAGAAAGGGGGAATTGTTACTGTGTAACTCTATGTTCACTAACCCCCTTTCCCCATTGAAATAATTTTTAATAACATGATTTTTAATAATACAATCTATCTCCGTACAGAATATAAATTAATATGTTCTTGACAATCCCGGATCATAACTTGATTTCTATACTTGACTATAAAGGAACAATTTCTCTGCTTTCTACCCGAGTCTGCTTTTAAAGAGCATTTGTAAACTCTAAGTATTACCTCAACTGGCTAGGAATGACTTCATATAATTAGTTTCAATTCAAGCAAAGATTCCTGCCTTTTTCTTTTGCATAAATTTTTCTTTAAAAGTTCGTGACTATTCACTATAGAAGCTTTTTCTGTAACTTCTACAATAAACTGATGTCAGTTTTCTAAGGTAAAAATTCTTTTGAAAGCTGATATAATCTCAAAATATCACATCTTTTAGTTCTTCTCTAATAAATATGTATTTAAAAATATGCATTTGTTTAATTGAAATTTACAAACCGGTAGTAAAGCTGCTTTGGAATTGACTTCATGAGGTTCTTCTGTAGATGGCAGTCTACTGTTACTTTTCACTTGAAGAAAATAGAAAAAAAATATTATACAACTAATTTTTTTTAGTATTAACTAACCAAACATAAAGCGTTTCTAGGAATAGAATAACTTTCACACGGTAACTTAACCTCTCCCTAACACTGCTGAACATAAAAGTTACATACCTCTCCCTAACACTGCCGAACATAAGTTACATGAGGCCCATGGGTCTCTTGGCAGGACATTCAAATTATTCAATTTATTTTTGTGAAAAGGCAGTAACAAGAGTATGAAAAAGGCTTGCTCTTAACCTGTTCCCAAATGTCTTGTGTATCCTTCCAGGGGTATCTTGTGTTTGTGTATACATACCCCTTGTTTACTTTTTTTATATATAAATGGTAGCAAAATATATACTATATACCTTGGAATGTTTTGCTGTGCATTTTTTAACTATGAGCTTGGAGATCTTTATTAGTATACAGAGGTCTTCTCTATTCTATTCTGATGATACATTGAACTTCATAGTATTAACACACAATAATTTATTTAACCAAACTCCTACAGACAGACATTTGGTCTGCTTTCAATCTCTTACTATAACAATGTTGCAATTAGTAATCTTATATATGTATCATTTTACAGTAATGTAAAAATACAATAGTTCATCTTTTCCCCCTCAAGATTCCACCTTTTGAAAATAAGTCTATTAAAAAAAAAGTCAGGATGTTAAATTATAAGTTAATTTAGAAACAGTTAACAACTTTATGATACAATAAAGGAATGCCTCAGAACAAATGGTCAAGGGAAAATCTTAGAACAAAAGTTGTATTCCAAGTGTAGAGGGCAAAAAGACCAGATTGAAACATACTGGAAAACTGGGCAAAACTTACAAGATGATGAAACTGACAGTATATATATATATATATATATAAAAAATGTACACACTATTTCAACATCTTGAAGAAATTTAGTCAAGTAGCAGAGAACCTAGTGTTCATCTCACCAAAATTATGACATAATTATACTGAAGGGAAAGGGCAAAGGCATGTGTGCATATGTATATGTTTTGGGGAACCAAGAGCTAGGGAAAAAAAAAAAAAAGAGTTCACTCCTTGCCTTCTTTGGTGGAAGGTCAATAGATATTGCCTAAAACTGAAGTACGGATATGCAAAATTATAAGTATGCTAACTTCACATATAACATCTATGTTATCTGAAATTGATGAGTTTTATTTCTTCTCTCCTAAGCCTTCTACTATTTCTTTTTCTTCCCTGATTTCTCTGGCTAGGATGTTAAATAGAAATGGTAACAGCCAAAATATTTGTCTTGTTCCCCATTTAAGGCTTTCAACATTTCACTATGAAGTGTTATATTTGTGATAACTTTTTATAGCTACCCTTTATTCAGATTAAGGAATCGCCATTCTAGTCTTGTTCTGCTAATAACTTTAATCATGAATGGATGTTGAATTTCATCAAATACTTTTTATGCAGCTATTGAGATGATCACATGATTCTTTAATTTGTTATTATCATGCAATAATTATATTTTTGAATGTTAAACCAACTTATATTTCTGGAATAAACCTAACTTGATACTGCTGTATACCAAAAAAGATTGAAAGAAGAAATGACAGTGACAGAGACAGGGTACTGCTGTTTTTCTTAAGAAGCCTTATAAAGGCTATATGCACATAATAAAAAAATTGTACAATAAATTTATGTGCATATATAACTTTGACTCATAAAAAAGCATGATATAGAAACACTCCCAAGCCATTTAATTTTTAAGTGAAAACTTAAAGGTGCAGAACAACATGTATGGTATGCTACCTTCTGTATAAAAGATATGAGGTAGGGCCGGCCGAGTGGCTCGTTGGTTAAGATTTGGCTTGGGAGCGTGAGATCTGAGCAGCAGGGCCCTGGTTTGGATCCCACATGGGCCAGTGACGCTGCGCCCTCTATAGCTAAGATGGTGAACAACAGCTTGACCTGGAGCTGGGCTGCTGTGAGTCGCCAGCAATGGTATATGCTGCAGTGGGTTGTAATAAGCTACCGTGAGTGGCCAGCAGCCAGCCAGAGCTGCTGTGAGCCGCCATCCAGTGGCCGGCGACCGATCTGGCTCAGCCGTGAAGAGTGCAATGATCATAATACCAACATGGGCCAGTGAAGCGACGCCCTCCACAACTAGACTGAAGAACCAAGGCCATCAACTTATCTGTTCCCCTTCCCCGATTCCCCAATGCTGTTCCCTCCCCCAACTCCCCAATAAAATCTTAAAAAAAAAAAAAAGATATGAGGTAGAAAAGACTGTATTGTAATATATGATTGAATTAGCATGAAACTCTAAAGGATAAACAAAGATAATAGTGATTACATACATGTGGGGTTGGAGTGAGAGGGAGGCCGATTTTCAAAGTGCTTGTGTGTATATTTTATTTTAAACAAATAAATATATTACCTATTTTTAAAAGATAAATTAGAAAAATATGTTGACTAGACAGATTAAAACAACAGATTCATTTATAAGAGTTAAAATCAGCAGATTTGTAAAAGGCAAGTCTTTATATATCACCTTTAAGGATTAAACAAATTGTGAAAAAATATTAGAATGTTACGATTCTGTGTTTTATTCAAGGTTATAGCAACAATGATGGACCAGAATCTTCATTTTATGACTCTTGAAACAATTATTGCTCAGGTGTGACATACATAAAATATATTTAAAGCTTAAATATGTATGTTTGCTAACATAACTCACATAGTCAAAATACTCACGTTGTTCTGAATGAAGAGAAATAGAAGTTTTGTGACTCTTCGTAAATCCAGCATGAGAACTCAGGTTTTTCAAAGTGGTTTCAGAAGGAATATCATTCTGCATATTGTACATATACACAATTTAAAAACAACTGAACTGAATTTCAAATCATTATTCTAAGTAGATCTATTTAAGCTTTACATGCTTTATTCTATCTGGACACTAAAGGGTGTATTACAGATTAGTTATTTGTTTTATTATCTCAAAAAGCTGCATCAAAATACCCTACTTGCTACTGTTCATAAATCCACCGGAATGAATCCTTTTTCATAAAAAAAGTTCATAAAAAAAAATTGGGGGAGAAAATAGGACACTGTGGGGAAATTAACAAAACATTTATCAATTCACCTAAGTTAATAAGTTTTATGAATAACTGCTAAAAGGTATTGATAAATATCTCTTAAATTCTAAGACTCCAAGTATACAACTACAAAATTAAAACACTAAAAAAATTACCTTCACTAATAAAAAGTGAACAAATAAATACCCAAATTATAAAATACATCCCACTTGAAGAGCTAATTATACTATAAGGAAGAACTAAAATAAGAGACACTGGGCTTTCTTATACTGGCTCAAATAAACTGAATCAAGCAAAATAATATACTGTGTACCTATTTTTAATAAAAGGATATTTACTTATAGGAAAAAGAATGTGATAAAAAGTTTTATTAAGCTTAAATAATTCCAATTATAAACAGCTCTACTAAAACTTATGAAGGTCCACAAAATACTTTACTTATAAAATCCACTTCAGTTAAAAGCAGTTCAAGAAAAACCCTATATGGAATACATGTCTACATTTTAAGAATTATAAAACCAACTTTGGTAGAGATCTGTTTGTTCTTTCTACTTCTTTATTACTTTTTTTCTTCCTTTTTCTTTTCATCCTCATGTGTCAGTTAGGCTACCTAAATATACTCAACCCATTTAATATTTAGTTCTTTCCTCCTCTTTAAGACATTATATATAATGAAAAATTCAAATCTTTAGAGGTATGCCACAGAATTAAAATGGTTGGAAAACACCAAGCAGATGATAGTCTTGAAGTCCACTGAACCTATTCCTACTTCTTCCATCCAAAGGTATATGTGTATTTTAAGATGACCCTGACTCCCACATATTGTAAAGAGCATTTACCTGACATTTAGGCATCTCTGAATACTCCACAACTGTATTTCTTACATCATTTTGCTGGTCCTATTTGAGACAAGAAATACAAACTTAAAGGCAAATATGGAAAAAGAACACCACATAATCATTACATCTCAATTTTCATATAATCACCAATTAAACTCCAAGTTAACAAAATCTAGTTAATAACACATTAAACTAGGTTATTCATTTTAGTACAATACTTTAATCAGAATACATGGTATTAAAAATACAAATGTTAGTATCTGCATCATCAAAATGCACTCGAGTCTACCTTTTATATGTAGGGTAATAAGTAATATGTTCTGACAGCAATTACACAATTAACTATGGACATAAGAAGAGCAATCACTCAAAGAAACTCTTGTTATTATCATTTCCTTGGCTTTAGGAAAACTCTTATTTTCATTGTCCCCGGTCACTTGATCATTTTCACAACTAAAGTTCTTTAAGGGAAGGAGAAACTTAACACTTTTCTAGTCCTCTTAATTATGTTGGTGTAGCTACATTATTATCCTTAAGGCTCTAATAGTTATGCATAATTTATAAAATTAACAGTTAAGAAATAAAACTAATTTTCAGACAGGAAACATGCCTTTTTTTATTTTTATACATTTCAAAACTTATTTAACAAACATTTATTAAATATCCACTTGCACATTATATTGTAGTTTACTGGCATATTCAGAGTTTTACTGCTACACTACAGTTTTCCTGAAGAACCAGGGTTGTGTTATAATAAACGCAAGCTATTTGTAAATTTCTGCATAGTCCTTAATTGTTTCTTCTTTTTTTTCAAATTGTGCTTAACTTCAAATATTTGGGATCACCATGTTGATGATGGTCTCTGCTAAAACTATATTTCTACTGAAAAAAATGTTTAATTCTATTTTTAACTAAACCTCAAAACAGCAAAACAAAATTGAACTATGCCGTTGTAAGGATTTACTTACGGATAATATTTCTTCCTTATTTGATGTTTCTTTAAACCTCTGTAAATTCATGCTATCTCTGTGTCCTTAAAGAGAGAAAAAAATTAACACCAAAAAATATTGTTTTCTTTTCTATCAAAATAATGTCATTGCCTAAAGTCTATATAAACAAGTGATTTATGTTCTTTTTCAAGTAGTTTTGATGGTTTTGCAGTTTCCTATAGCTCTTTTGATAAATATTGAAAATTATCCATCAAGGAGCTGAAGATGAGTAGTTCAGTATATATTAAAACAAAAGTCAAAGGCCTCCTACAAAAATTCAAAATGTGATAGGAAATGAATTCCTTGAAATTTAAAAGGAAAAAGGATAACAATAATTTTTACTATTAATAATGAAATCTAAAAGCATTATATATATTTATTACATATATAACATATACATATTATATATATATATATATATATATATATATATATATATATACACACACACATATTATATAGATATATATCTCTCCATGCCAGCAGCAATATATTAACAAAGACTAAAATGTGTTTTTAAAAAATAAATTGGGATTTTATATAGGAAAAGTTGTTTCTATAAATCCAGTCAAAACCACATTACCTAGCAGTAGAGATCAGCATGCTCAATACCTAGATAACTTAAAGGATTGTCCTAAATTTGCAGATTGTACACGCATATAATATATTTTCTGAACAAATCTATACATGTTCCATGACTGGGTAAATTTGTAGTCCTGGAAGACTCACACAAGTGTTAAAGACAAAGTCAGGAAGCCACTTGATGGAAAAATTCAAACCTAAAGAGACAGAGGGTCTTGTTCATACCTTGAAACATTCTGGTTATGTCCACTAACAACTCAAGCTGTTTTCTAATAATTCTTTATTAAGTACTTTAACCTTCAATAATCTAACACAAAGACTATTAGAACACAATAATCTCCCAAATATTATGGACCTAACCAGTTCTATAAAGCATTCCCTCTTCACCTACTCCTTCCACATAGCATACTGTCAACATTTAAATATGCTTGAAGTCTCCAATCACTAAAAACAAAGCAAATAAATCTTAAACATACAAACCACAATATTAGTTATTTCTTCTTGCTTTCACTGCCAGCTTTTAAGTTGCTCCCCAGTCACCCTTCTTTACATTCCTGCCTCCCGTTCGCACTTTATTTCACTATAATCCGGCTTCTCCCTCTGCTATTTCCTTTACTGAAACAGTTTTAACCAAGGTCATTAATACAAGGTGTGATCAACAAATATGGTGAATGTTTAAATTTTTAAAAAATTATTACAGTAAAAGATACATTGCCATTAATCCCTCTCAAAATATTCCCCCTTGCTTTGAACACACTGATCCCATCGTTCTTGACACTTTCTGAAGCAGTTCTGGAAGTCCTCTTCCGTGTCTTTAGTTGTGCTGTCGTGGCTGTCTCGATGTCCTGAATCGATTCAAAACGTTTACCATGTTTCATGGTTATTTTGACTTTGGGGAAGAGCCAGAAGTCACACGGTGCCAGATCCAGTGAATAAGGTGGATGAGGACACACTGTAATGTTTTTATTTGACAGAAATTGCTGTACCAAAAGCGATGTGTGACATGGAACCTGTCCGTTGTGATCACAAAATATAGTAAATGCCGCTGCGGAGTGCCATCCAATGGAAAGGCAGGGATGTTCAACATGGGAAATGGTGTGACAAACCTTACTAACAGTGTGTGACAAGTTTCACCATGTTTGGTGCAGTCAGTTGGGTCTGAGCTACAGTTGAGAGAAGGTGTGTTTTAAAGTGTGCCATAAATCATCATCCTCCATCATGACAATGCTCTGTTTTACACATCGTTTCTGGTATATGGCAATTCCTGTCAAATGAAACCATTACGGTGTGTCTTTATCCACCGTATTCACAAGATCTGGCACTGTGCAACTTCTGGCTCTTCCCCAAAGTCAAAATGATTCAGAACATGGAGGCAGCCACGACAGCACAACTAAAGACACTCATGAAAGAGGACTTCCAGAACTGCTTCAGAAAGTGGCAAGATTGATGAGATAAGTGTGTTCAAAGCGAGGGGCAGTATTTTGAGGGGGATTAATGGCAATGTGCCTTTTACTGTAATAATTTTTTTTATTTTAACATTAACCATATTGTTTGATCACACCTCGTATGTTATCACTGCCAAGATAAATATATTTTCAGTCCGTATTTTACTTGAGCTATCAGAGGTAATAGTAATGAATCATTCCTTTCTGAAATGTTCTCCTCTCTGGTTATATAAATGGGTCAATAATAAATACTCATTTTCCAAGTAGAGTCCTGGCTTTCGCTATTGTCCTAATATAATTATTAGGCGTGCACCCTTTCACTTTTAAAAATGTACTGGTTTGGATGAAAAATTATATGGTCACCCTTTTTATAAAACAATGCTTTTTTCTAGTTATTTCTAGCCTCCCCTGGACGTTTTTATTGTTCCACAACTAACACTAATCACTCAGGTTCTTTCAATAAAAGTTGATCAAATTTGAAACAGAGTCCAAATTAAGTTTTCCAAACAATTGTTATTATAGTAAACTGCACCAAAGAGGTATACGCCAATATAACTATTACAGTCCAATTTAAACTACTGCTTCCACTTGGTTCCTTTTAGGAATTTTGGAACCATAATCTATTATTAGAACTATATTCCACTTGTCACACAAGTACATAGTTTTGTTAATTAGTTTTTTATTTCTAAGGTAATAATTATAATTAAAAATTACATAACGTTGACATACAAATATCGGTTTGTCAAACTTACCCACAAATGCTCCAAATTCTATATTATCTCCTTCTGCAGCTTTAGAGCAAACAGTTTCTTGATCTTTGGTTACAGTTTCCAAGTGGCTTTTGCAACTTGGCTGGGATGGAGTACTAACAAAAAATTTGTTTGGTGGAGATGATAGATGTGGTATGCTATTAGGTGAACTGCCTAACTTTTGATTTTTACTAAACATTTTTAAGGTTTCTATCCCATGTAGTCTCTGTCGCAGTTCTGGGGGAGAAATAGCACTTGGGAATAAGGCACTACAAGAGGAACCAGCCTCAGGAAAACTGAATTCTTTTCTCTGGGGTATTATAGGAAAATCCTGACCAAATATATTACATTGGGGATCTTTCTCATCTTTCATAAAAATATCACAAAGAAAAGGATTATTACTTTCAAGACCACCTTGAGGAAGAGAGGAGCTAAGTGTATGTACAACACTGTGCTTTTTCCATACAGAAGGTCTTACAGGACCATCATCAATAAGGTTTTGAGCCAAATGTTTGGAAATGCTCAATTCTCGTGTGATTTCATTGTGAACTTTACTAGCTTCCGAAGCTTTCTGAGCAGTGAGTGTTTTTAATGTATCCACAGTCAGAGCTGAAAGGTCTTGCAAATGGCCAATTTGAGAATCTAATGACTGTAATGATCTTTTTATATAGTTGACACGATCTCCAACTTCTTTAATCTGAATGCACATCTGCTCCACTCTGTAGGAGAAAAACAGGCTTTTCATAAATGTTGAAAATAATTGTTTTAGACATTTTTTTGGTAATCTTAATAAATGATAATGGTAAAAAGGAAAAAATTTTACATGCACTTAAACAAGGCAAGATATGAAATAAGGTACAGCTATTTATTTATAGAAGACACACCTTATATTTAAGAAGGATCCAGTGCTAATCCTATTATAATAAAATGTAAGATTTCAAAACATGTTTTTGTTCCAAGGCTATTTATTCCAGTTTCCCCACATCAGAGTAACACAAGAAATGTGTATACAGCTATAATCATAGAATCACCATTACCATTATTGTAACTACACAAACACCATATGCTTCCAGAATGTAGCAAAGCCAATAGAAAGAAACACTTTAAAATAATGAGGGCAGTTTTACTTTTCTCCAACTGGTAAAAAACACAGACTCTTCTCTGCCCTTTGTTAATGAAGGTCAAAAAATAAAGGATTGACTTACTGACTTACATGAAATATTAGAAGAACTGAACTGTCTCCCAACACATAAGGTAAAATTATTACTAAACTTACTTGTTTGACAAACATGAATTGAATAATGACCATGTATAAGAGATATAACTAGTAGGACCCACTCTGACATATAATCAATTATAATTAAAGAGCTTCTGAACCTTTCAAAAGTGACACGAATTCTCTCTTCACTCCCAGAATGGAATTTGTCATCTTTTTCATTAAAATACATCTCAACACACTGCTCTTCAAAATCATGAAGTTTCTTTTGATCTTCTTCTGTTAAAAAAAGTTCTAAGGAGAGAAAAGGAAACAAAAATCAATGAAGACTACAAGATTTCAAGCTTTTGCTCTTTAGCCTTATGAATTACTCAGGGTTCATAAGATTATATACATGATCTGCAATTTTTTTCTCATTTTATTGCTGTATTTCTAAAGCACTAGACAAGTATTTCTATTTTTTCCTTCACTCAGTCTGATGTCATCAGCAGAAGTTTCAGAGATTTCCTCCTGTTCTAATTTTCTTTTCCTACAAAACACTTTCCCATCTCTCTCAGACCTCTCTCCTTCACACATCCAAGTAGAGGAATTTAACAACTGAATTGGTAGAATAGACAGGCATTGTAAAATTTTAAGCACAGTTTGATGTGGTGATTAGTTTCATGCAGTGCACAAAATGTATTAAAAGTATTATTGATTCCAAAGCAGCAAAAATGGTTTGTAAAACAGCAAGTGTTATGGTGTACATTACCATTAACAAAAACAAACTGAGATGCGATACTCACAAAGAACTTTAATACTAAACTCACTTTTATAGATATCATATTGCTCTTAAGAGTCTTTTATGTTTAGGCAAATGCAACAAGATACAATAACATTAACCAATTAAGTCTTCTGAATAAAATTACTACTTAGGTTTTAGTGTAACACTGATAAGTGATAAAATAAAAATACTGGCTTTAATATATTTTACTTACTTGGTCCATCTGAAGTCTTATCTTTTTTTCTTCTTTTACATATGTAGCAAAACAGAGAAGCTATATGGCTGAGAATGATAAGTGGTGGAGGCAGAACTGGTTTCTCATGATAAGCCATAATAAAATGATAACGCTGGTACTTCCACACAATATTGGAAATTGCCTTCACTTGTAAATACACATTACTTGTATAATAGAATAAAAGTAAAACGAAGTTAGCTAACCATGTTTTGAAGTTTTAAAAGATAAAGATTTAGTTGTAATTCTGTTCTAAATAAGGATTCAAGTGTACCCTACCATAACAAGACTAAAACGCAAATGAGAAACTGGCTAAAATACATGCAACAAGTATAAAGCACAAATATGATATTGCTGAGAGTCTTAATTAAAAATCCCTAGAAAAACTAGCAGAAAATATGATTTTAAGATTTGAAAATTATATATGAGTAACAAAAAAATAAGAAAACATTCAACCTTAGCAACCATGAAATAAGTTCAAATAAAAACAAGATCCTTTACATACTATCAAATTAGCAACCATTAAAAAGATAATAATGTCTAGTGTTGGCAGAGATTTGGGGACACAGGCCTATTTTGACTTAATTGCAAAAAGTCCCAAAAAATACATATACTAAATAGTTCTACTTTTAGAAAAACATTCTACGGAAATACTTAAGGACTGATACAAAAATTTAACCACAATGTCGTTTTGGGAAAATAATTATAAATAATCGAATTGAGTTATATAACATATTGGCTTGAAAAATTATGGTCTATAAGGGCCGGCCGAGTGGCGTGTTGGTTAAGAACTGGCTTGGGATGCCAGAGGGCCACAGTTCGGATCCCACATATGAGGGCCAGTGACACTGCCCTCTACAGCTAAGATGCTGAACAACAGCTCGACCTGGAGCTGGGCTGCCGTGGGTCGCCAGTGACGGCGTGGGCTGCAGTCCCCTGCTGCAGTGGGCTGCCATAAGCCTCCGTGTGTTGCCAGCAGCCAGCATGAGCGGCCAGCAGCCACTGTGAGCGGCTGTCCAGAAGCCGGCGACTGATCTGCCTCACCCTGGAAGAGCATAATGATGGTGCCAACTTGGGCCAGTGAAGCGACATCCTCCACAACTAGACTGAAGAACAAACAACAGCAACTTGTCTGTTCCCCTTCCCCTGATTCCCCAATAAAATCTTTAAAAAAAAAAAAAAAATTATGGTCTATATCATGGGATACCACGTAGCCATTAAGAATAAACTAGAGAAGGATATTTATTAATGTGGGATGTTGAAAAATAGTATATAAAATATAAAGACATTATTTTTGAAAAGATAATATGGTTCATATGTATTTATAAAATATAATAGAAAGATGTACACTGAAATATTAAGAATAGGATTACTGATGAATTATTTGCCTTTCTGTTTGTATACTGGATGTGTATTCCTAGGCAACCTAGTAAAAATCCCAAATAAAGGTTAAATTTATAAAAGAACTGAATGTGGAAAGATAGTCTGAAATTTAGAACTCATTTAATTTACAAAAGCATGACTACTTCTTTGTAATTTTCAGATTTAAATTTTTTTTTTTTTTTTTTTTTACTTTATTTGAGCCAAACGGAAGACTAATGCCAAGGAGCAAGATCTCAAACATATCCCAATGATAATTTTAGTAGATTAAGCCTCAATAAAATTTTTATAATTAAAATTTTGTATATTTCCTTCAAAAAGAATAGAAATGTATATTAAATGATCTCATTACAAGCAATTGAATAAAATTCTTACTTGAAAAATGCAATAAGAAGATTGACCATAATGATATACTGCACAAAGAGGTAGACTGCTTGAAGAAATGGAGTCAACCACGTCCCAGGACCACAGATACTCTGAACAGTAGAATCATTTGCACACACTTTAGAAAGAAAAAAAAAAATTTAAATATAGTAATTCACCAGTAACTGTTTTATCAGTATTTGTTCATGAGAAGGAAATTTTGATTATGTACAAATCTGTTTCACAGATTCTAGCAAAAGTTTCTGGGCCGGCAGCTATAGGAACACCAACTTATGGTTATTTCAACACAGAAGAATTTTGTGAAGGATTTGGGTATCTGTTCTACCACTCTATTCCAGACAAGGAAGTAAATTTTGTGTTATGTCTACCCTTCAAGGCAGGGTTTAGCCTTAGAAGCAGTGAGAATGAAATTCCCAGATTCAGCCACACTATAGCATATCTGTAAGAAAAATAAATGAATCATAAGAGTATTGCAAACTCAACAGTAAATTTACAAACACAAAGATTACTAAGTTTATCTTATTATGTTACAAAACAGGGTTGAAGGAGTGGTTCTAGTGCCTTTCAAACATAAAATAATTAGATTTGAAATCCTTGCATTCATTACCCCCACATAAATGTTTCTGAAGCCAGAATATAGCTGAATACAAACAAGGAAGGGAAGAGTTTTAATATCCAGAACAAAGTTATGAGGAATAAAGTAAAATCTATTTAAGTAGGGCAAGGATTAGAATGAAATAATCATGAATTAGTGACAAATTTTTATCATTCTTTAAAATTTTTATGAATCTATTTCCACTTAATTTAGATTGGTTTGAAGAAGCAAATACCCAAGAAAGAGAATGCAGGAAACTGAAAAACAATATCCAATGTTTTATAGCAACTAAACTTGAGCCACATCAGAAAAAGAGCAGTCAATGAAAACTGGGAAATAACACCAAACTGGAACCCATTAAACACAAAATCTGACCAGGCTGGTTCAACCTCACTGCTTTAACCAACATCTGATAACAACTGAGGGGCACTGTATGGCCATTCCCTGAGCTAATCACTTATAAATAGATGGGCAGGGAGCAGCACTGCTATGGGGTGAGAGAGGAGTCAAGTAAGATGGGAAAGAAAGAGCAAGAGAGATCAAAGGAACTAAAAAATAAAGATTCTAGGGGCCGGCCGAGTGGCACGTTGGTTAAGAGCTGGCTTAGGACACCAGCTCTGAGCAGCAGGGCCCCGATTCGGATCTCACATGGGGGCCAGTGACACTGCGCCCTCCACAGCTAAGATGGTGAACAACAGCTCGATGGAGCTGGGCTGCAGTGAGTCGCCGTTGACAACGTAGGCTGCAGCTCCTGCTGCAGTGGGCTGCCATAAGCTACCAAGTGTGGCCTGCAGCCAGCGTGAGCGGCTGGCAGCCGGTGTGAGCTGCCAAGAGCCACCGTGAGCAGCCGTCCAGAAGCCGGTGACCGATCTGCCTCATCCGGGAAGAGTGCAATGATAATACCAACATGGGCCAGTGAAGCAAAGTCCTCCACAACTAGGCTGAAGAACAAAACAGCAACTTTGTCTGTTCCCCTTCCCCCAATTCCCCAATAAAATCTTTAAAAAAAAAAAAAAGATTCTACAACTCAAATGTAGAGGTCAGTAGAACAGCCTTGAAAGTTGGCTCCACCACTTATGTTCACAAGTTATCTAGTCTAACTAAAACAATAAAAAAATCTATTACCTTATGCAGAGAATATATTCACAGTTGAATTTTATAATTCAAGAGTTATATCCAACCTACAACTGGTCTAAACTAATTAATGCAATCTCATTACCCTTGCCCTGTTTCAGAGATAAGTAGGCTGAAAAGATCTGAGTTAATGAACTGAAAGAACATGTTCAATAGGGGTTCTGGGAAAGGGATCTTTTTTCCCCTTAAGAGAATCATGGAAAACAGTGTGGTTAGTTACAGTGCTTCATGATTATAAGGGAAACCTGTATGAATGAGACACTGTGATTATAGACCAATAGGATGAAAAAGAACAGATGTCCTTGGCTATGAATTAACCAATCCCTAAGACAATTCTACCTCTGAATTTTCTGTTATGTGAGCTAATAAATGTCCTTCCTGCGTAAGCCAGTTTAGGCCATATTTCTTTGATTTGTAACTGAAAAAATTCTAAAATACTTTTTTCTTTAATTAATTTTTGTTATGTTTCTTCTGGGGTTAACTAATGTGTTGTGGGAGGGGTTACGCTGATAATACCTTGCTTGTGAAAATATGTAATATTACTATAATGCAGTTGATTTTAAAACATAAAATAACCAAAAGATGAATGTGTAAATAAATACAAATCCTTACCATCAATTTCATATGCATAAACTTCACCAAAAATCATCCAGTATGGATGAAAAACTATATCTTTAGCAAGAGTCCAAGATGGTTCTTCCCGAGGATAAAGTATTGCCTTTCTGGGAACACCAAAACTAAGTAATACAAGAGCCATAATCACTACAATGTAGAACATATTGGCAACCTGTTAAAAGATGAACACTGTTAAAATACATAGGAATGTAAACACAATGACAATTTTCATCTTAAAAACGTTTCTAATGTGCTAATACATAACTAGAATCTTTGAGTTTCTTTTTATTCCTAGTATTAGCATTCAGAAAACTCTCATCACTACATAAACCTTAACATCAAGAATATTATGTAAAAATTGATCTGTGAAGCTGAGCAAGTCATGGCATCTTCTATATAAGAAAATGTTATCTCTGGTTCAAACTGGAGTCTGCCTATCTGGAGTCCATAAAGATTTTATCTTTTGTTTTTTGGGGTTTTTTTGGGCCAGGCATTGAACCGCTGTTGCTCAGAGCTCACACTCTTGAGCGAGCTCTTAACCAACTGAGCCACTTGGCTGACCCCCATGAAGATTTTAAAGAGGTATAGAACATGGGCAGATTCAAAGAACCAATTTCCATAAGTGCTTTTTCTTAAAACTGCTCTGTTCTTATATTGAAGGTGCACACTTTCTTTTCTACCTCCCTCTGATAACTGTCCTTTGCCCACTTAAAAAAAAAAAAAAAAAGAAGGCATTCTTCTCACCCATACTGAACCCTCCCCCTTGCCCTGGGCTATGAAAATCTCCTAGGACCTAAACAAAAACAAACTGAATTATCAGATAGTATGAGTGTTGAAAAAATAAGTGAGACTAATTATCTGTTTGCAAATCAGGTAATTTGCAATTTTTAAATTTCAACAAAACTGAGAAAATGACTAATTGAACTAAATTACCTAATAAATTACTAAAAAATAATTTTTATTGTTAAATCAGTGTGAATTTTAGCATCACTACTCAGGAATTCAAAGAATTAAGTGAAATGCTACAATAAAATTTTAATTTATATCTACTTATTTAGGTGCAGTGTTCAGTATTTACATCTAAAAAAGTGAATGTTGTCTCATTCAAGCAATATATAATATCCATCCACAAATAATAATCTGCTGAGGTAAGTCCCATACAGACCAAGAGATTACATTTACAATAAATTTGCACCTTAATTTACTGTGAACCAACAACTGCAATAGTAAATCAACCTAAAAAAATTATTATGACATTTTCATGTATTTTTAAAATGAATATTTACCAAGTAGAAATGGAAGGCAAGAATGTGAAAGGTAAAGAGGATAACAGGTCTGGATTGGATGGAGTAATTATAAAATATTTACATGTAATCATTTAGATTTGATCTTTCATCTTTAAAACTGGTAGATCTGCCAATCAATTGCCTTTCAAAATTAAGTTAAAGTTGAGTCTCCGTGGCTTGCAAATCAGAGTCCTAATACCTCCCCCAATATTCAGTTTTCTTAAAAAGAGTCAAATAATGCTTTCTTTGAGCATTTAAGAAAATAACCGAGAGAACGTATGTTTTCAATAAACAAAATCTTGGGACAGAAGATTTTTAAAAGGTAAATAATCCATCAAAACATTATTCATGGCATTTGATATACTCTGGAATCCAAACATTTATCTACAATTTTTATTGATCTAGCTGGAGGACATCAAAAAAGCTTTCCTGAAAAAAAAAAAATCATGTTGGAGCTGAGATCTGAAGTATAAACTTAAGTCAATTAGTTAAAAAGGCTGAGAGTATGAGTGTAGATGAAGATGATCACTCCAGGCAGAAAAAACAATATAAGCCATGGTACTCTGATAGGAGTTGTGCTAAAGAAAATATAGGGATCCCTATGTGACTAGAGCAAGATAAAAAGTTTGCAAGGAGGCTAGACTTAAAAAAAAGCACGGAAGATGTTACTATTGGAGAAAACTAGGTAAAGGGTCCACAGGCTCTCTCTGTCATCATTTCTCACAACTGTATGTGAATCTATAATTACCTCAAAATTAAAAATTAAAAAAAAAAAAAGAAAGAAAAGCAAGGCCAAACTGGGTAGGGCTTATGGGTTTCACTATGTACACTGACCTCTAGAAGTAATGTAAAACCATGAAAAAATTTATTAAGAAAGGGAAGTGACATGCAGATTTGCATTTTGAAGGAATTACTCTGGCTCCCCTGCATGTTAAAGATAAACCAGAGTGGCTGTGAGTCTACAGATTACTAGAATACTGCAGGTGCCAGATGGTGATAGATTGGTTTAGTTAGGGTAGTGGGAGTAAAGGTGAAAAGAAATTCACAGATTGGAGATAAGTTCGTATCTTTCATTCTAGTCTCAAAGATTCATAGCAAGTAGCATTTAAAAATTAAAGTGTTTCAACATACAACGAATAAAATACGGTTTTCCTAACCATACCCATCAAATATTATCTTCAAAAGTTAATGTACTTAGGAAAGGTCGATTTGGAGTACAAAGCAAATAAACTGAAACAACATTCTCTGGTTCAAGTAAAACTATGTTAACGTTTTTATGATTTTAAGAAACAACATCAATAAACCCATGATATCAGATGTCTCTCAACTTACCATTTTTCCAATCATCATTACATAAGGTCCTGCCTGTTGATTTACAGCTAGAAAATCTAGCAAACGCACATACCAAAATATTATGTTAAGACAGTAAATTAATCTTCCAGCCACAAAAACATGATTATTATATGCATCCTCAAAGTTCCATTTTGCTCCAAATCTTAGTCCAAATCCAACGAAGAAAGAAATTATGGCAATTGTGTCACTGATATTGAAGTAATCACTAAACCACACTTTAATCTTTTGGCTTATTTTCCCAGCTTCAGACATAAAGATCTAAAGGTTTTAAAAACAGAATTTAATCAATTTCTTCCTATGGAAAAATATACCAGCAATTATAATATCACAAAATTTTATGTATCTTTTAATAATTCAAAGTATTTTTTGTTATCTTGGCATTTGATGATGCATTTGATCACCAAAACAATTCACTAAAATATCAGAGACAGTTATCCTCATTCTATGATAGAGAAAAAAAACAACGACAACCTACAAATGAACTGCTCAACCAAACTAAGCTAAAAATCTTGGGTTAGAACACAGTTCTCTAGAATTGGAATGTGAGATATTTTTGAAAAGTTGTTGTTTTTCATTTAAACAACACTAAGATATCCTGGTAGGATCTTCCAACAGTGCCTTATTTGCAAAAGTAAACAACTCAATGGTTTTAGTAGTTGTACTTATCTCTTCTTTTCAATATACAAATTAAAATTTTTTTGTGGGGAATGGTAATACATTTACATCTTCAAAACCATAATGTATAATAAATACTGAAAAGTCTCCCTTCCACTTTTCTCCCTTAGCCCCACTAGAGGCAACTACTTTTATTATAGGCATCTAATTTTATTGCACTTTGCTTTATTGGGTTTTACAGGTGTTGTGTTTTTTACAAAGAGAAGGCAAAACCCTCCACCAGCAGAAAGATTACAACTCGCTTTATTGAGAGAATAGTTTTATTATAGTGGTCTGGAATGGAATGTGCAATATTTCTGAGGTATGCCTGTACTAGCTAATGAATCCTTGCAGAACTGTTTTATGAATGTACACTAAAAAAAAAAAAAAATCACTGCAACTTGTTTTTGTCATTTAACGACTTAATTTCTAAAAACATGTTGGTAAAATAACAGACTTTATAAACATATGAACCATGGCACTCAGAAATTTAAAATGCATAACAAGCTATTTAATAAGATAAATCCTATGATACCTAAGTGGAAGGTCAGTACAATGCCTTCTATTTGTTTTTGCAATTTAACATATTCTCTAAATGTAAAGCAAAGACATGAAATAATTCAGAATTAAGTAAATGTGTTATAAAACAACACTTATGTAGCTACTAGTTTGAATAGAAAGTATAGTAGGCCGGCCAAGTGGCTCAGTTGGTTAAGAGCTTGCTCAAGAGTGAGAGCTCTGAGCAACAGTGTCACCGGTTTGATGCCCGGCCCGAGCTGAGCTTCTGCTGAGCTGCCAACAGGTGGCAGGATGGCTCAGCTACAAAAAGAAAGAAAAAGTATAAAAATTTATTTAAGGAAAAAACTTTTTTTCAAAATCAGGATGTTGAAAAATTTACAGTTTAAATTGAAAACTCTGATAGACACAGACATCTAAATCTATATGACAATTCAATGGGAAATAGAGTACACTTAAGGGGCAGTCAAACACAAGAGCAAAATAAAAATCCTATTTATAATTTACTTAGCTGATTGACTATGTGTATATTTAATACTTTTTGATGAGTGGCAGAGAACAGATAGTGTATGAATGTTGAGGAAATAAAGCAAAAACAGATCTAGGCTATGTTTCTGAGACAAATCATTGTCTTTGTAATTGTGACAAAGTTAACAGCACACTGATTCCTAATCTTTTGCCATGATCTTTAGAACAGCAAAAATAAAAATGTTCTACACTCCTATAAAGTCATCACCTACTGAAATTATGATAAACATAAAACACATAAACACACCCACATACATACTCCGAACAAAACAAAACACCCTCCATATATATAATAACTTACTGATAGGAAAACTGAAGACATACCTCACGGACTTTTTCAATAGCATAGGTAAAAATGTAAGCAATAACAATCCATTCTTGAACTGAAGGCAGTTGCTCCATTTGTACAAGAACCACAAATGTATAAAGCATCAGAAAACCTAAGTAAGCCAACTAATAAAAAATACAAGATATGAATAAAATTGATTTCAAAGTAGTTTACTATGAAAATTTTCAAGCATACACACAAAAACACCGAGCTCCTGTGAACAATCTCCCAGCTTCAATCATTAAAATAGTTTTAGAAGTAACTCTTCTTCAGTGCAGACTTTGCATTTATCAATCAAAATATAAATGGTCTCCGGGTATAAATGTATAATTCTAGAACCTTGTTGAGTTTTTCGTATTTCTCAGAGGAAGAATTTTATAATGCCAGGGTTTATGTTCTCAGCTTAGTCCAAGTAATTGAATCCCATTTAGCTTATACCTAAAATATCATAATATATTAATTTTATTATAGAACTTCACCACCATCATAATCAAGAAACACATTCTACCTGCCTGCCTCTTCCCTCCCGCAACCGAATAGTAAGTATTCCTAGGAAGACAAATGGTATTTTCCTAGCTCCCAGACACTGAGCTTGAATACTAAGAAATGGAAACCAATCTAAAAACCATTATCCCTAAGTAAGACAAAATCCCACTTCTGATTCTTATAACAAAAAAGATGATAAGTTCTATGCAAAATAATGTCTGAATAGTCATTTCATTTCAGAGGAAAACTCAGACTCTTTGACCATTGAACACGTGTGGCTAAGAATCCACTCATCATTCTTGCCTCTACCAGTCTTAAAACAAGCCATATCCCAGATTTAAGCTATGGCAGGGTAGAAAAGTAAATTCCAATAAAGAAAAGAGAAATTCCTGTAGCCAACTGGGTTTCCATTTTGAAAAAGTCATTCAGATGAACGCAAATGTCAGAAACCTACATTATTTCCATTAATGGGGACAGAATTTGAGGATTATATTAGGTAATTCAGATGTGCAATTTCAACATCTAAACAACATGGGAGCAAGAAAATTTTCATATTGAGAAGGACATGTAATTAATTAGTCTCAGGTTAATGGGCACATGTGTGGGTGAGAAAGCAATGGTTTTAGGACAAATTCTCAAATGTTCATTTTGTACAAAGCCATTTGTGAACTTAGGCGATTCTAAAAAGTAACAAAATCAAAAACAACTTAAGAGTTTTCCTGGGAAGCGGAGTAAAAACTTATCCGCTCAGCCCCTGGTTAAAAGTACAGGCTAATCTCATGTGTTTTTCTTCAGGCGAGTCCATCCCCTCTGTGGACATATATGCTCATTTATCTGGTAGTAAAATCTGTTCTTCCATAAAGCAAGAGAAAAACCAATTATGTGGCAGATAATCAAACATGTACTATAATATGATTAAGAAACAAGCTATTAATTAAAATAAATAAAACTATATGAATGCTCTAGATTACTCTTCACTGTCAATTAACACTGCAAGAAAGGTTTCTCCAAAATTTTAACATTATCTACAAAATCCTAAAGCACAAAGAAATTATAGTTGTTTATCAGTTTATTTTGTTTAATCTTTACCAATATTTTTAGATGATTGATATTTGCTACTCACTTAAAAAAGGCATATGGTTACCACATATTTGTTTAGTAAATTTCAGGTTCTAATTAGAGCTAAGATTTATTAGTGTTTATCATTCTATATGATGGAAATTTGAATGAAACTAAGTCAAACTTATTGCTCTTGTAAGTAAAAATGGCTTTTTAGTGATCTGAGGTACATCAAGATCCATATGGACTCTAGACTAAAGGTGCCCTAAAGCCTATCTTTTAAAATCATTATTCTCATACAATTTAAAAACATACCGTGTTAAACCAGAATTTAACAATTGGTGCATGATAAAAGGCATAAAACTTTCGTGTGATTGGAAGCTTTTTGGATTTTATTTGTATCTCCATTTCATTCTTTCCTTCATTATTGTCCAATATTCTGATTTCTTTAAATACTTCCTAAAATAAAAATAACACTTATTGTAAGTTTATTCACAATAAATATACATTTACTGAAAAATTTTTTTCCTCCTTACCATAGGAATTTCTTCTGTTATGTTTTGAAAGTTGTTTTCACTATCTTCCATTGTCATTTGATGGGCATCTTGAGATTGTGGAATATGGGACATTTCAGCCTTAGTTTTATATTCTAGCATTAATATGGCAGGTGGAACTAAAATGCTTAATATAACCTAAAAATTTCAGAAACACATAAGTTTACATTTTAAAATTAATGAGCTTTAAGAATACAACAAAAGCAACAAAAAGGTATCAAATAGCCTAATTACTAGACATTTTGCCCCTGGCAGTATAGGGGGAAAAACCAAAAACTTCATTTGTACTTATATTATTTAAAGAGGCGTAGGGTGAATTGTTTTAAGGAATAACAAAACATTTGAGTATTATGATATGAGGGTATAGAAAAGGTTTTAATAGAGACTTGGCCTTTAAAAATAATGAGATTACAATTTGTTCAGAAAATACATTTTTGTTTAGACAGAATTTAAGACTTATAAAGTTGCTATGTGCTTAATTTCATCCTAAATCTCTCTGCCAGTGTTCCAAAACTCAGCTTGTGCCTACATAAACAAAAAGGTTTATTTCTAGAATTTTATGTATTACCTGCAAAATCCTAAGCACAAAGAAATTATAATTGTGTATCAGGGCTTTCTATTGGTTAATCTTTCACAATTTTTATTTTAGTAGATGTTTGTTTGTTATTTACAATGGTCAATGGTTAAACTACTTGCCTGATTTGTGCATTTCTATATCTTATTTAAAATGATGAAAACTAAAGTACCAGCCAACCCTTTACCCAAATTCTCGACCAAAAAGCCAGGTATATCCAATATACTTCAAGTAAATTAAAAGAAACCAATTATTAAGTTAGTAAGTAGGTTCTAAATTACAGAATTTGGGAATCATCTTTTCATAAAGCAGCAACATTGTTAAAGCTGCTCAGGGCTGTAAATGCCAGTACTTCCATTTGTTGGCCTCACGCTTCTGGCTCAGATAAGAGCAACAATCACTATACACATCTGAAAAGGGTTCAGAGTGAAGAACAGGAGGAAAAAAAGACACCTCATCCCACTTGGGATAAAATGCCATTACCCCCATCCCCACCACTCTCATAAATCAAGGTATTTTACTATACATCTGGGCTAATTCCTCTGTTCTTTTTATCTAATCACACACTTTATATCAAATTATTTCTAAGGTATACCTTGTACCAGGAATTTTTCCTCATATTCAGCCTTCCCATCCACATATCAGATAATAACATTTGTGTACAGGTGTGGGCTACAAATGGTCTAAGTCTTGAGGAAACTGCTAACTTAAGGCAGGTGGAATTACTCCAGTTTTTCAGTTCATAAGTGAGCAATTTCATAGCCATGGTTTCATCTTGTCTGAAGGATTGTTCTAGTAATTCAACTGCCAGTTGTCCAAAATCACTATCATACATAAAAGATAAAAGCCAAAACATTTTCAGATTACCAAACTGCAGTTTTAAACTACTATTCTTAAATTCATTCATAACCATTTCAGTTTTTAATATTTTCTCACACACACTTAGGGAATTGTGAGGCATTAGAATCATAGTAGCTCTATGTTTTCAGTATCTACTACTATGTGGAAATCACAAAGTATTAAAATATGTCACATTAAAAACAAGACTGAAAGGTTGACTCCAGAGCACTTTCTCCTGGTCATGGAAATAAACCTACGGTGTCACAGGAAACTAAAACTGACAATGTTCAGTTATAAAATTTCTATATAGTCATTTCAATACAGAAAAAATTGGTACCCATTAAGAAAGGAATAATGGAAGGACTAACCTAATCATGAAAAACACCTGCAATTTTAAATCCTCAGTAAGTAACCATAGAATCCCTACTTGAGTTATTTTCAGTAACAATTCTACCCTCTTCTAAAGTCAGCCTACTTTGGGAAAGGGAGGACCTATTCTCTATCATAAAGCTTCCTAGAAACTGCTTTTGTAGCTTAATATTCCATTAGTCTCCTGAGCAAACTGTAAGCTTCTGTGAATTGTTTCATTCTTCTATATATGTAGTTCCACCATCTGAAATGCTCTTCCAGTTTAATTCATTTCCTTAGAACACAGTTCAAATTTCACTTTCTTCCTTTCCTTACCATGTCAAGTGGAGCATTTCCTAATCTAAGTGCTACTATGTGCAACCATTAAACTGACTTCTGGTATTTCTTCTTTCTTGATGAATTATTTAACTTTTGCATTGTTAAAACATAACCTCTTTTATACATGCATAGGCAGCAAAGTTTCTTTCTGAATTTTAAAAAATACCTAATATATTTTTCTCTTAATTAAAGCAGTAAAATTACATATATAGACCCACTTAGTGCATGACACCATAACCTTCACTTAAACACAATCTATCTTGTATTTTAAAAATGTTTCAAGTGGTAAAATAGAACTTACTTGGAATACTGTTTCAATTCTTCTGAAGTATCATCTATAAGGTCACTCTGCTTTGCTTCATAGGCCATTGAACGATAGATTTTACAGGCAACTAACGCTTTAGCCATTGATTCTTCACCATGCTGCCATAAAAAACGAGCCATGACCTGCCTTTTCATAAGGCAAGCCCAAATTAACAGCTCATTAAGCGGATAAGGAAAGCGCTTTGTTTCTGGGTCATCAATATCTACAATTTCATCTTTGGTTCTTTTCTTCTTTCCTTCTTCCACAGCTGTATCAATCTTCAAGGGAAAATAAATGTTATAAGGTTCATTATAATAAGGCCAAGACATTCATGTAAGAATTTTTATAAAATCTCCTTTATGATCTTCTTCAATTTCAAATAACTGCACAAATTAAACAGTATACATTTTATATACTTGATTTTTATTATAGCTCAAAATCTATTACATGGAAATGACATTTCCAAAAAATGTCTCTATAACAAAGTTTTCCAAGGTTAAAGAAAGGGCCTAAATATTTCAACTAGTATCTGACAAAACACAATTTTAATGAAAGCAAAGTTTAGATAATGCCTTTGTCTTGCATGTTGTTAACCAAGTAAAAATTGAATAAAAGTTATATTTACAAAACATCTTAAAAATTCGATTATCATAGCTAAATATGAAAAGCTTAATAGAAACATTAACTCACAGTGAATATCTTATTGTATATGGCAAAAAAAGAATCAAGAACATAAAATATCTAATAACAAAAGGCAACTCTTACTAAAACAAAATTTTTGTTTCATAATACTAAGTAATTTAGAAAGAACAAAATCCAAAATCCAGGAATTGTAATATTTAAACAAAAATACCTTTGGTCTGTAGGGCTGTGCTGTTTTAATGAAATGATTATGTCTCATTTTTTCCTTTTTATCTGCCCTATTGCCAAAAGATTCATGACTTTTTCGCAACTGAGGAGTGCTGCTGGAGGTATTTCGGCCAGATCTCTACAAATGAAAGCTTATTAGTTTTTAGATTTAAATAAGCTAATATCTATAAAAATTCAAGAATCAGTTTATATACATAAAAATATATATACATACATGAAAAATATGATTTGTTTAGTATTTCAATTATAAAATATTTCTAAATATTCTTAGTTAAAAATATTATATTTTTAAGACAATGTATTTTTACCATTCTAATATAAGTACTTTTTAACTTTTAAAGTATATGAGTTAATTTTAAAACATATTAATAATATAGACTTCCCCCCAAATCTTACATACCCGATTATTTCCACCAAGACTATTATATATTAATCGAAAACGTTTCCGAGTGTAGGTGCATCTATAGGTTCCTCCCATAAGATATTCAATAACGAGTCCTATATCAATTAGAGTGACCTTGTATCCTGGAGGAAGATTTCCCTGGAAATAAAATATTCGTTTTAAAAAAACAAAATAGTATTTCTCAGTAATTCCATGCCTAAAAATGCGCCTACTCTCCAAAATGACAAATGTTTACTTGTTTCAGGAAGCTGGGATTTCCAGCAGCTATCTTTACAGGAGAAAGGAGTGATGTTTCTGTTTCCTTTTGTAAGAAAAGGAGATTCTCCAGTTTGAAGTCTCAAAGGTGTGGCTCAAGATAGGAGTAAGGTTTACAGCAGAAAGATAACGTGATCTCTCCATTGCCCTATAATTCACACACAGAGGCAAAGGAACTTCTAGGAACCAAGTATTCCATTTTCACTGTGGCACATATCATAAATTGCATTTCCTGCAAAAATGCTATAAATGTTAATTATGTTTCTTGATGGGCCCATAAATACTTACTTGTAACTATTTTTTAAACCAAAATTATACTGGCTATATTATAGGTCACACAGGTTTTTATAGCCTCATCTAGGATTTAAGTACCACTTATAACACTGTTTAGAGCTAAGACTTCATTTTCCCAGGTCATCAATTTACAAATGAACTTCTGGGACAAAATTCACTTGTGAGTTTCAAAAGATTGCCTGTTTCAGAATAGAATACTTGGTCAATCTCATCAAATAATCTCAAAAAAAAAAAAAAGGGTTTAATCATCAGATGATTGATCTATATTAACCAATTCTGCCCTCTTACCATCACCATGAACTTACATCACCATGTAT